CTCTGGTGAAGCCTCTCACAGTCCCTGAGCCTCTGGCCTGTACCCCAGTTCTGTATGAATAAATAAATAAATCTTAAAAAAAAAAAAAGCCACATCTTTAAAAAAAAAAAATTTACCAATAATAATTTAAAAAATATTTTTAATTAAAAATGTGGGGAATGGGCCCTCCCTGGTGGCCTAACGGGTTAGGAGGCAGTCCTGGAAGCCGGCCACGGCTGCTTCAGATGCTGACCAGGCCCTCTCTGGTGAAACAAGGGGTTAAAGTGCAGCTCTGTGAGGTAAATAGCAGCCACTTCAGCACGAGTTCCATACCGGCCAGAGCTGACCCACATGGCGCAACAGACCTCTCCTGTCTCCCCCCTGCTCCCCTCAGCGTGTACTTCGTGGATCTGCCTGTTCTGCTCCCAGCTCTGTCTCTGCTGAAGCCTCTCACCGCTCTGTGCCTCTAGCCTGTACGCCAGTTCTGTGTGCATAAATAAGTATATCTTTAAGAAGAGTAATAAAATTAACCATCTGGCCCAAGTTCATTCAAATTGTAAGTAGCCCTTCAAATGTCACTCCAGGCCCAGCCTCTGGAAAAGTAGCTTCCGAAAATCTACTCTCCTCCCCCTAAAAAAAAAGTTTCAAAGGACGCTAGCTTTGGAAATAGCTCTATGGGTCCTGAGACAACCTGAAAGCTGCAAGTTGAGGATAATCACCAGTGCCGTCATTATGAGAAAGTCAGAAGCTCACAGGGCAGCGAGAGAGCAGATGTATTCGCAAGATACCGCTACCCGTGACCTGGGGGATTTCAGCTCCCTCCAGCGGGAGCCAGGGAAAACTTATTTTTCTGCTGTGCATTTAACGACGGGGTAGAAGCAGGTTTCTGCAAACACAGTCTGGGTTTCTGAATTACAGCACCGAAGGAAAACCGTTCACCCAGCCCCAAAACAGTGGGCAACACAGGGGTCCAGTAAGTCTGCGCGAGGAATTCACACTCTGCCAAGGGACCTGCTGGGCGCTGCGCGGCGCCTCCACGTAGGCACAGGTCTGTATGCACCTGCACCTGCACCTGCCCCTGCCCCTGCCCCTGCTCGGCCGGCTCAGGTCCCCGCCACGGGCAGGAGGCCAGCGCGACCCGGGCAGAGGCGCTGTCAGACCCCGCTGCATTCAGGGGGCGGTCGACACCTGCTCAGCCACGCGCGCCCGTCTGGGCCAGCTCGCGAGGTGCAAGACCGCTGGCTGGACGACGCTCCGCGCAGGGCCAGCCCGCCAGGCCGGGCGCGACAGGACCCTCGGCAGGAACGCGAGGTCGGTCAGCGCCACCGGCCGCCCTTCCGGCCTCGGCCCCGAACGCCGGGCTCCTCCGCGCGAGGAGGCCCCGCCGGCCACCCGGCCCAGCCCCTGGGTCCGCGCACGGTCACCGACGACCAGACCCTCGGTCCGCGTGGCGCCCCGCGGCCGGGACGCGGCCCCGCCCGGGGTCACCCACTTTTCCAAATGCAGCCTCTCGGCACCCGCCCCCTTGGCAGCTGCTGCCCGGGCGGTACCTGAGGCGCAGACTGCGCAGCTGGAGAGGACCAGGAGCAGCCACGCTGCCCCGCGGCCCCGGGGCCCCCAGTCCCGAGGCCCGGCACCAACTAACGGCGAGGCCGCCACTTTCATTCCTCGCGCCATGGTCGCCTCACACCGCCTCCTTCTCCCGTGCCTCTCCCCAGCAACTAACCCCGACGGGCACGGCCAGCAGCCTATCCGCTCCCAGGCCCGCCCCCTCACAGCCAATCGGGAGGGCGGAAGCGCGAGTCCTTCGTTCTTCACGGACCTTGTGAATCCCGCCCCTTAGCAACGGACCCGAGAGGGCGGGAGCAGCCGCTTTTAGCCTATCAGATGAGGTGGGCGCCCAGGCAATGGCGACAGGAAGACCCCGCCCCTTCACAACATGCTTCCGTCTCCGTGTATTTACAGCCGGCGCGATTGATTGTAAGGCTCACCAATGGGAAGCCAGGACGCGCGACGCTTCCTTGATCAAACTTGAGATTTCCGTCGAAACCGCGTCAAGTTATTTATGATTTCTCTCTTTCCGTTTTTTTACCACAGTTTTGTTGTTGTTATGGAAAACTTGTCGTGAACGCCTATTTATGAATAGGCTCCTGGGGAGGCAGTTTTTTTTAAGACTATCATGTCCTCCAAAATCCTAAAAATGATTTTAAAACGAAGCCATAAAAACTTGTGTCGTCACTGTTTTATAGGCATAAATATTAACATTTTAAAAAGTGGTTACAGGGACTTTTTTGGGAAACAATGAATGTGAATATTAAGGGTTTTTTTTTAATTTCTCACTATATTTTGTGATACAAATATGTCCACTTAGCAGTGAAGGCTAAGACTGGCATGTCCAAAGGTTGGCTGAGTGGTTTCAGCCAGAGTCTCACTGACCCTACAGCCCGAGCTCCTTCTGCGTCTCGGACGGCTTCCCTCGGACGGCTTCCCCGAATTATTAGTTGATGCAGTGAGGGCCTAGCAGAGTGCCTGGCACAGGGCCGTTCAGTAACTGTTGGTAGACATTGAAGCATGTTTATTTGTAGAGGATCTAGTTAAAAAACGAAAGTGAGTGCCGCCCTGGTGGTGCAACGCGTGAAAGCATAACACTGTGGAGCAATCTGCTGGCTACGCAGCACCAGTTCCATCCCCCGCCAGGGAGTGACCCACAGGGCACAGCAGACCTCACCTGACCTGCCCGCTGCTCCCCTCAGCAGTGTACTTCACTCCATCTGCCTGTTCTGCTCCCCACTCTGTCTCTGGTGAATCCTCTCTACCCCGCGACTCTGGCCTGTACCCCAGTTCTTGTATGCATAAATAAAAATAATCTTTTTTATTAAAAAAAAGTAAAAATGGGAATGATTCCCATGGGTAAGAGAAGAAATTTCCCATGGGTAAGAGAAGAGCCATGGGTAAGAGAAGAAATTTTATCCTCAGAAAAAAACAAAACAAAACACTATGCGGCTGTATTGATCATCTTGTGTATGTGGGGCTCTCCCTCTCTCACACACAGACACATCCATAGAGAAGTTAATGTCAACAGTAATAAATCACACTGAAACTATGTACTCTTGATAGCACTTGAGGTCTGGTTTCCTCCTTCAAATCCATAAAAGCAATGTAATTATAAGAAAACCATTAAACAGGCTGCAGTAGAGAGCACCCTCCTATGACAGCACTCCTCAACACTGTCCCTGTCATCAGGCCCCGGCAGGCCTGAGAGACTAACAGCCACGCTAAGCCTAAAGAGACGTGAGACCAGATGTAACAAGATGCTGTGCTGAGGTCCTGGGACGTAAAAACTAAGAAAATGCGGGTAAATGACAGGTACAGACTTTCAGCCAATGCTACGTTTCAATACTGGTTCTTTAATTCCGGCAGATATACCAATTCAAGTAGAAACTGGATGTGCGGTACATTGCATGGGCACTCTGTTATTTAATCAAAATTTCCATAAAGTGTCATTAAAACTGTTTTATATAGTTACATATTGTATCTTATATGTAATTTTATACAATTCTATATATCATATACACACCTTTAATTTTCTACCAAACCCCAAGTTCTCGCAGTTCAGAACTCAGTGGTTTTGAATAAAGGCCAGAGAAGAGGGTAGTTAATTCCAGGTTTGGGAACTAATTCCAATCACTCACCCACTGACTTTTAAAATGTGTAGAGGAGGTCTACAGTAATAAGACTGGTTTTCCATAAACACCTCACACCTTATCATTTAAATGGTTCTGTCCCTTAGGACAGTCACTCGAGAAGCTTTCGGCCTTGTTTTAATAACGAAGTGCTTAAAACACTTTGAGAATCATCTTCAGCGTCTATAGCACACAGTGCACTGAATATTCATTATCTGCAGGTGGACCTGATCCATGCAAATAGCCAAAAGAATTCAGGCCAAGACTGTTGAGTAAATGGTGTAGAAATCTCGATAGAATATATGTTTCAGAGCTTTTTTAGAATGGTAGTATGGCGTATTTATAATATGTAATGCAACAGTCCCGATAGGGCCTGGAGTAGCACCATATGAACAACTTAGTGACTTTACAATATATGAATATTCTCACTGGGAATAAATGAAAACCATAAATGGCCTCGTGTGAGTTTAGGAGCTTTGCCAAAAATAAGTGCAGGTCAGACTAGGTTTTGTCATCATACAAGTTATGGAAATGGTTGGTTTTCATAATTTTTTAACATAGGAAAAAGGGTTACAGAGGGTGACTATCTGATGAAAGCACCAAAGTTTTGAGGAACGTCTCATCGCGTGTACTCAGTCACCCAAGCTGCAAGCCCAAGGCTCACCCCACAGCATAAAACTCTTCCTCCACACTGTTCCTAAAAGCAGACAGATCCGACACACCCCTCTGTGTTCGTCTCTATGGTTTCGCGCTGCTGTGTGGAAGAAGCAGTCAAACAACGACAACGCTGCTCTTCAAAGCCTGTAACCAACCTGCACTAAAATGATGTCAGAAATCAAGTGTCAGCATTTAGGAACTTTCATAGCAATTTGGCAGAAAATGTGTATTTATTTAATATCTGAAAGGAAAAGGCGGAGAGGAGGGACGGACGCCATGAGTCTGTTCCCAAGTTCTGTGACTGGCTGCAAGAAAGGAAGGCTTGAGGCAGAAAGGCTGAGCAAGCAGAGTTTATTGCTCCTGGGGACAGCAGCTGAGACGGAGCCCCTAGAGTGGGGTCCACAGCTACTGCCCCCTCAAAAAGGGGGCTCCGGGACAGCAGCTGAGACGGAGCCTCTAGAGTGGGGTCCGCAGCTACTCAAGGCGTCCGTCCCTCCTCTCCGCCTTTTCCTTTCAATATCTATATTGATAAAGTGGGGATTGTCTCCTTTTCAACTGGAGCTTTCCGAGTTCCTTCCAGCCAACTCCAAAGCGACTGCAACAAAGGGGAGGGGCAAGCCACCTGCTAGCTCCAGGTCTTCTAGAAAACACGGCGCTGTTTTTAGCCACGCACATTCAGACACTGTAGGAAAACTGACAGTGGGCTTCAAGGGGCACTACTGCAGAGGAGGGCCACACATCCCGCCACGGCAGAGCTGGAAGGGTGAGCGGTGTGCAGCTGACATTGGAAACAGCAAGGGCAGCAATGTCATCGAGAGAATCAGAGTTTGGATTAAGCATATTCAGAGTCCTGAAACGTGTGAAGGAAAATGATCAGAAAAAGAGGGAAGTCAGGGCTCTCCCTGGTGGTGCAGTAGGTTAAAGCACTGCACTGTGAAGCTGTGGGCAGCCACCGCAGCACAAGAGTTCCATCGGTGGCCAGGGAGGTGACCCACATGGGCCAGCGGCCCTCTCCTGACCCACAGCAGACCTCTCCTGACTGGCCCGCCCGCTGCTTCCCTCAGCAGTGTGTTTCAATAGACCTGCCTGTTCTGCATACAAGAACTGGGTGTAGGCCAGAGGTGGGGGGGGGGTGAGTATTCACCAGAGACAGAGTGAGGAACAGAACAGGCAGACTGAAGGAAATACACTGCTGAGGGGAGCAGCGGGGAGACAGGGGAGGTCTGCTGTGCCCTGTGGGTCACTGCCTGGCGGGGGATTGAATTTGTGCCGCAGTGGCTGTGACAGCTTCATGCTGAGGCTTTAACCCCAGGGTCACCAGGGAGGCCCTGTAACATGTTTAATGAAAAGGTCCGTACATCTCCCTGGGCTCCTGCAGTTTCTTATTTGTCAAGAGTAACATTCAGTTTCATGCCTCCACGTAAGTTTCCATCCTGTTCTCTTTGATTTGACCATCCCTTCCTTTTTAAAATCTAGGTCAGACTCCTAAGTTGCATCATCACGACGTTCCGGTGCCTTTTTAAAAGTCCTTCACAATGCAGGCAGAATCACTTCCCCTATTCTTGTATGTGTGACTCCTTTATTGCAGTGACCCGGCGTTGGCATTATCGTTAGAGGTACTTGCTTCTGTTTCTGTCGCCCCTCATGGCCTGTAAATTCCTTAGAAGTTTTAGGATTCTTTGTCTTTGGAAAGATGAGGTGCCTCATAGAAACGGAAAAACCATGCTTTCTTAGACTGTAAATCGAATATTCTACTGATAGTGAGAGGAGACTCATGTTTTAAAAAGATCTATTATGTATGCTTATAAGAAGTGGGGTACAGCCAGAGATGAGGGGTGGGGAGGTGAGAGACAGAGACAGAGTGGGGAGCAGAATGGGCACTTTGACTGAAACACACTACTGAGGGGAGCAGTGGGGGGGGGTGTCAGGAGGTCGGCCGCGCCCTGTGGGTCCCTCCCTGGCTGGGGATTGAATCTGCTGCAGGGGCTGCGGATAACATCGAGGTGCTGCGCTTTACCCTGGTATCCACCAGGGAGGGCGGGGACGATCAGTATTTTCTAGACTTTTCTTCTTTTTAACCACCAGTAACCACTTCACACCTTGCTGAAATCACCTGTAGGTGAGTAAGGGACATTTTAGAAGTCAAAGAGCCAGACTTGCGAGACTCACTGGAAACCTCAAGAAGGCAGAGGGCGCAAGACACAACAGTCTCCGCTGAAATGCTTTTGCCCAGGTTCAGTCTTTGGAGTAAAATCAGTTGCAATTGCCCCTTCCAAAATTGCCTGGCCTGGGAACAGAAGTAGCAACTCATTCATTTCTGTTTAAAAAAACAATTTATTTGTGCTGAGAACTGGCTACAGGCCAGAGGTGCAGAGGGGCGTGTGTGAGAGGACGCCCCACAGACAGTGGGGGGCAGCACAGCGGACCCACTGAAACACACTAATGGGGGGGCAGTGGGGAGACAGGAGGGGTCTGCTGCGCCCTTGGGGTCCCTGGCCCGGGCTGGCTGCTGAAGGCTCCTCAGTGCTACATTCACTTCCCAAGGCCAGATACCACCCGCCCCCCACCCAAGGGTCCGTGTTGCCGGGTGAAACCAGTAACTGTGACAGAAATGTGGGCAAAGAAACCCACAGCCACCTAGCTGGGAGGAATTTATTCTGCCGAGAGGTAGTGCAGGCAGGAAAGGCAATTTCCTTTGCCCATGAGAGTTGACCTGCCAGAGGAGAATCGGGGAGAAGGAGCCTGCGTGCGAGCTGCTCCGTGAAAATCACCCCGTGCCCAGCACATAGCTTTCGGGCTTGCAGTTTCCTCGCGCCCCTTCCACCCACTGTCTTCACAATCGTTTACCTTCTCCTTGGAAAACTGGGACTGAGGCTCCAGTTTCCCGTAAGTAAACAATGTAAACATTACATTAATCCTTGGTTAAAAGGGGCCGAGGCTCTGCTGTGTCTCTGGGACATTGCGGTGAGGCGTGTCTGGGGGCGCGGCGGCAGGTGAGTCAGGGAGTGGTCCGAAGAGAAAGGGACCACGGAGCGCGAATGTCTGTCCCACACCCTGTTGTCACCCCCAACACACACCCCCCATCCCTTATCTATTTTTCTACAGTTTCTCATAGTCTCAGTCTCTTTGTTTCTGTCTTTCTCCATTTGCTAAAGGCTGGAAATTCCTTGTTCTCAGCGGAAGGGAGTAGGAGGGGAGCTGGGGGCGGTGGGAGTGGGAGGGGAGCGCAGAACAGACATCTCAGCAGCTCCTTGCGGGGGCGGGCTGGCCTCCGGCGCGCTTGACAAGTCAGTGATTTTTCAACCGTATGTATTTTTAAAATCCATACATAGGGGCTCACATACAAACCCAGAGTGAGACAAAGGCATGTAAAGAAACAAATCATACTGTCAGGGTGCAGTGGCACTAATGGTCCCTGCGCCCTAATTTGCTTAGCGTTTTACAGTCTGCAGAGCTTCCCTATATATAAATCCTCTCGCTCCATCCTCACAGCCCTAAGACACACACTCGGGAGTTTCACTCGCACATCCAAGTTCGCACCCAGCAGAAGCCTTTTGGGGGAGCGGGCAGGGCCCGTCCACGGGATTTGCCTTTCCTCTGCCCTCCCGGCCGGGCACCCGCCCTGGACCGAGCAGAGGAGGCCGCAGGTCCGGCGCCTCCCTCCCTCGTCCTCGCTGGGGCTGGGCTCCCGGGTCAGCGCCCCGTCGTTACCGCCCCCTGCTTCACGCCCTGCTCCGCCCTTGTCCCTGGGCCCGCGTCTCCCACCGGATCCGGGGGCTCAGCGCCGCCCCGGGGGGCCCGGGTGGGAGGGAGGGGGGCGCCTCGAGCAGAGGCTGCGTGGGCGGAGGATGTGCGTCACGGGGAGCGTGGGCAGCGAGAGAGGAGGCACGTGGAAACCTGGGGCCAGCGGCTGGCAGCCCCAGCTCCAAAATAACCAGGGAGGGGGTGGGGGCAGGGGCGCCCACACACATCTGAGGGGGTCAGGGAGTGCCCCCCGAGCGAGCTGGTGCGGCCGCGCCCCTCGTGTCACGAGCCTGGTAGCTGGGAGGGGAGAGGGGCTCCGCTGGTTCCCATCGCTGCACCCCGCAGTGCTGGGGTTTAATGGGATGGAGAAGGGAACCTTAGCTGCCGAGCGCCCCCCCTCCCCGCCTCCGCTCAGCGAGGCGCCCCTCCTAGCGCCCCCACCGCGGAGACTGAAAGGTCTCCCCGCCCTGCCCGCCGGAATGGAGAGCCGGCCCCCGCCCACGCCCCCCACGCCCCGCCGAGTCCCCGGCCAC